TTCTAGTGCAGCAATTGAGGTATAAATTTATACAGTTTATGGTCATATTTTTAAACAATATGTGAAAAGAATTCTACACTTGTTTTTGGTATTGTAGTTTTTCAGGACAAATGGTTTCCCTTGCCCACTTCTTCAAAATCCGTCTGATCATTTTCTTAAAACAATAAACAAGGATTTTGACGAGGTAAATAAATACTGTATCCCTACTTTTCTTTTCAATAATTCATGGAGGGGTTAATAATGTTTGCCTTTCTACTAAAATTTATTAATGTTGCCCTGTTAATAGGATATCGAACATGGTTTAGCTGGAAGAAAGCCAACAGAAGAAGTGGTAGATTTTCTCATAAATTCATATGAATCGTCCGACGAATACCATGAAGTTCAGAATCAGGTTGCAGAAATATGTCAACAGGTAAGCAAAAAGTCCCAAACAGGAGTTGAAATTTATGAATTCATATAACTGAGTTCACGGACAAATATTTTAGATGTTAGTGAACTTGTAACTAGTATCCGCTATGTATGTACGCACATACGTGACGGAGAAGGAATCACTCTAACACCATTGTGTATTCTACAGGGAGGTGAAATGTTAGAAAAAAGAAGTCATGCTAACTTCTTTACACAAAGCCTTGTTTTGACAAGGAGATCATCTCTGAACATGTTTCGTGATCTTGGCTACTACTGGATGCGATTTGTGTCATATGTCATCCTTGCTTTAGGTCTTGGCACCATCTACTATAACGTTGACTTAAGTTATCGTTCAATCGAGGTATAAACAACAGATATAAGAAATCAGTAAAAAAAAATATAAATTAGTAGTACTACTAAACAAACATACTATATATATGATCATTGACAAGAACAATTTTCCAGGAAAGAGGTCTAATGGTGGCTTTCGTTGTTTCATTCATGACATTCATGACAGTTGGTGGATTTCCTTCATTTGTGGAGGACATGAAGGTATATATCTTCATTAATTTCATCATCACAACCAACTAATTTCTCTGTTTAATCATTCGTCACAACTGATTAAAACAGGTATTTCAAAGAGAAAACTTGAACGGACACTATGGTTCTTCCGCTTTTGTGATTGGCAACACTGTTTCCTCCATGCCCTACTTGTTATTGATTTCACTAGTTCCAGGTTCCATTGCCTATTTCCTCACTGGATTTCAACCGGGATTCGAGCGTTTCATCTACTTTGCTCTTGTTCTCTTCATTAGTATGATGATAGTCGAGAGCCTAATGACTAACGTTGCAGCTATTGTCCCTAATTTCCTCATGGGCATTGTAGTTGGTGCAGGAATACAAGGATTGATGATATTAAGTGGCGGTTTTTTCCAAATACCTAACGAGTTACCTAAAATTATTTGGAAGTACCCGCTATACTACATTTCTTTTCACAGGTATGCTTACCAAGGCATGTTTAAGAATGAATTTGAAGGATTATTTTTCACGGACAATGTCAATGGAATCAACGTTACTATGAGCGGAGAAGATGTATTGAGAGAGAAATGGCAAGTAGAAATGGGCTACTCAAAATGGGTAGATCTTGCTATTTTGGTAGTTATATTGATTTTGCACCGTATGGTATTCTTCTTGATTGTCAAAACCAATGAAATATTTGTACACGCAAGGAAAACATCCACATCCGTTAGTTAATCAATTGCAGTTTATATATAATTAATGATTTTCAACTTTATAAGTCGTTCATCACTTATTATGGTCATTTGTTAGAGAATTGAGAGTGAGATGACGAAGGAAAGTTCAAAAAAATTAACTTTAACTTTATTATTTTGTTTTTATTTAATATATATATTGCGTTAAAAATTTAAATGTCATGTTTCACTACGCATTCAGACTTGCAGGATTTCAGTAAAGCTTTTATATGTGTCAAGATATTTTTAATTATTAGATTTTATATTCAGTTAATTATTGCAATGGAGAAAAGGACTATAGATTACCAAAAGGATTAATAAGACATGAACGAACAAATAAGATAAAGTGATAGTAAATATGCTTGCTTATCGATTTCTAACTTAAGGTATGAAAAGAAATATCGAGAACTCCATATTTAGAGATGAACTTTTCGATGTATGAATTCGAATTGGTTGTGTTTTGTATTAGAAAAAAAAGATATATGAGAAAGTGATGTATACGATGCAAAAATAAATTTATTATATATTAATATAAATTAATCGAGTTTTGATATAATATAGATAAAAAATACATAATTGAACATCTTCAAATAACAACTGTTTAGTTCTAAACAAATTCAGGTGTCTCTGTATCTGGAGATAATTGAATTCTCTTTGTATTCCCTAATCCCAAGCCAAACACACACAGAAATGGCTCTGACAGCAGCCACCGCCGGCGGCAACAGGGGTGGCTCAGCCCTCCCCAATTCGTGCCTTCAAGCCCCAAAGCCTGCACCGTTACAGAAACCCATCTTCTTCTCTTCCTTTCCCAAAATAACAATCCCGTCAAACTCCAAAATCAAACCAAGAATCAAACCCATCTCAGCCGTTCAATCTCCACCCTCAACAACAGCAAAAACTGCTCAAAACCCAGAAGGAAAATGGAGTCTCGAAAGCTGGAAATCGAAGCCGGCTTCTCAGCTCCCTGAATACCCTGATACTTGATTGAACTTTACTTTAGTCTTACTGCTTAGGTCTTCGTTCCAGTTATAATTAAGACATTTTCTTGTTTGACTAATTATCCAAAATCTTGCATGCATATCAAGCAGACAAAATAAGCAACTGAATCTCGAAATTTAGAACTAGGGTGTAATGCATTCATTTTAGCGGTTTTTTGGCTGTAACAAAGATAGTCCTACTTTTGAT